AAAACCAGCAGTACGTGTAGATAAACATCAATGCTTCAGTATCAGGCTTAGGCGGATGGATTTTTTCAGTACCTGATCGCAGTGCACCAACGTCATTTTGGCCTGCCTTCATGCTCGTGCGCTGCCAGGTAAGCCTGCACTGATGAATGAAGGTATATAAAGCAGTCATGAAGAAAAAAATAACAGTAGAGCAAGTTGACCGTTTACCTGTCAGGGAAAATATGCAATGGCAGAGAACGACCAATGAATTTTTTTTTTAGCAAAAGAGGGTTTCCCCTCCGATTTCCATTAAAGAAACCAGCGAAAACAGCATCCGATATGTTTTACACCCGCACAACTTAAGTTAATCCTATTACAAGCCAGGAGGAGTCTCAAATTAAAACATAGCCAAGCAGGAGCTACAGAAAGAAAAAGAAGCCCGGGGCCAGGCCCCAAAGGGTGAGCCGCCTGCGCAGTTTCCCCACTTCATTTCGCCGGACCACCAAAAGAAGAGAGATCTTCATTCTTTGTCACTGCTGAATTCGAAGAACTCCCAAACGCCAGCCTTGCGCAGCCTTGTAGACATCATTTGCTACTTGCACGATGAGTTTTGCTCCCAGCATCAACATTTTTTCTTCTGCGTCCCTTTTCTGCAAAATAGCCCAGTCAGAGATCCATCCACATAGCATTTTCACAATTCCCATTGGGTCAGAAATCTTTTTTCTATCAAATATAATATCATTTCTGCATCTCCAAATCGCCCATAATAGCGCTGAGATGCTAATCAAAATAAGTTTCTTACTATCTTTCTGGAAATTTTTAAGCCAGTTTCCAAGACAATCATCAAGGTCTTTAGGAGTAGATTTTAAATCAAACACACATCTTACTAATGCCCAGATAATTCTGGCCACCGAGCAAGAGAAAAACAAGTGGTCAATTGTTTCATCCTTTACCACAGAACACACAATGTTTATCCCCTTTCCAGCCTCTTTTTAACAAGTTATCTCTAGTAAGTACATTTTTCCTCACCATAAGCCATAGGAAGAATCTAATTTTAGCAGGAACTTTAATTTTCCACAAGAATTTCCTAGGAAACCCCACATCAGTCTTAATCAAATGTCTCTATAAAGACTTGACAGAAAACTTTCTATCAGTGGTCAGCATCCACAGAGGTTTATCTCTACCCCCATGCATCAGAACTCCCTCACATCTCACTTTCATGCTATTCCAAAGCTGCTCAGTATCACCATAAAGTGATCTCCTGAAAGTAAAACCACTCCAACCTTTATCAACAGCATCTCTAACTGTTATCCCATGATCATTGCTAATAAAGAATAAAGAAGGGTAAGCCTCTTTAAGAGGTTTATCCCCTACCCACCAATTTTCCCAAAACCTAGTATTTTTTCCATCCCCCAATTGTTTCTTAATATGAGGGTAAAAGTATTTTCTAAGTTCCAAGATACTAGCCCAAAACTGGGAGTCCCCACTTTTGTGTTTGATTCTAGAAAGACATTTGTCACCCACATATTTTTCTTGATAATACCTTGCCAAAAACCCTCATCGTTCTCTATTTTCCACAGCCACTTAGCTAAAAAA